CGGCCTTCGTCGCGGTGCTGTGACGTATGCGGCCGACAAATTCGACCTTTGGAGGACCCGGCCTGCTGTTTTGGACACAGCCTTTGTCTGCTCTCCACTTCTGTGATCAGGTTGAATCAGAGCCCTGAAGATTGCCCACCCCTAAACTAAACCCATTAGCTATCATAAACCTGCTGAACTGTAACATGATCAGATTGAAGAGACAGAATAAAAAACACAAACCTGATGTCTGCAGCTGATGGTTGAGGCTGTAAACAGCTTCTATCCGGATCTTCATGTTGTTTTCTGTCTGTTCCTGATCAGCAGGTCTAAAATCCTCCGACTTCTCTTCTTCCTCTGTTTTTACCTGCTGTCTCCACATCTTATCAACATTTACCGAGCTGTTACAGCTCAATATAACTGAGTTAAACTCTTCTGAGCAGCAGGCCACGGGACACACCGTTAGCTCGTAGCTACAAGACAATAATAAAGTTAGCAGCAGTGATACTAGAAGACTTCCGGTAGTGGGTGGCCTTCAAAATAAGAGCTCTAAATATAAATAAATGTAAATCATTCATTTGGCTTTAGCTCTAGTAAAAGGACTTGTAGTTGCATTTTATTTAACACCTAATTGCAGCATAATTTTATCAACTAAGTTGATAAACTAATATTTAAAACAAATTATTTCTTCTATGGTGAATTTATGAACTACACCAACTTGGTTTAAAAAACTCATCAGTTTTCATTTTTGTGTTTAATTTTAATAACACCAGCTTCAGCTGCAGACACAATATGGAAGCACTCTGGTAACACGCCCTCTGATAGATGATGCAACAGAGGATCATCAGACTCATTCTTCCTCTTTAGTTTCACACTTTGGAACAGGAAGCACAAACAGACACATGTTAGATCTCAGCTGCTGGGAGGAGTTTCATCAAATATTTCTTCTCTTTTCCTCACCATGAAAAACAGACTGAAACTCAATCAAATGAACAGAAAGTTTGAAACATTGATTTCTGAACAGAAATCAAAGTGAAAACAGAAACAGCAAATTACAGATCAGCACAAAGTGTCTCCAGAAAACCAAATGTGCTTCTTCCTGAATGTCAAGTAGACTGTAGAGAAAAGACGAAGCTGAAGTTAGCTTCCGATTCCAGCTTCCGATTCGGGAAATGACTAAAGGGATATTACAACTAATTTTTCACTACCTTGCGCGTGTTTAACCTGGTCTAGCTCAAGAACTACAACACCTACACTCTTCAAATCTGGACTAGATTATTCTACACTAATAGAAGAATATTTAAAAACACATTTGGGATTTGGGAAAGCTTTGTCTAATTTGTGAAACTTCAACAAAGTTTGTTTTTCATTGTTTTTATGCAACTGGACCACATAAGATCTGGTCCAGCTCAAAAACCACAACACCTGGACTCTTCAAACCAAGACTAGATTATTCTACACTAACAGAGGAATAATAAAAACTAAGTTTGAGCTTTGGAAAACCTTTGTCTAATTTGTGAAAAATCAATAAAGTTTGTTTTTCATCATTTTTCAGGCAACTGGACCACACTAGACCTGGTCCAGCTCAAAAACCACAACACCTGGACTCTTCAAACCAGGACTAGATTATTCTACACTAATAGAAGAATGATAAAACAAACTTTATTGATGTTTCACAAATTAGACAAAGGTTTCCCAAAGCTCAAACTTAGTTTTACATATTCCACTATTAGTGTAGAATAATCTAGTCCTGGTTTGAAGAGTCNTCCCAAAGCTCAAACTTAGTTTTACATATTCCACTATTAGTGTAGAATAATCTAGTCCTGGTTTGAAGAGTCCAGGTGTTGTGGTTTTTGAGCTGTAATGTGGTCCAGTTGCCTGAAAAATGATGATAAACAAACTTTGTTGATGTTTCACAAATCAGAAAAAGGATTCCCAAAGCTCAAACTTAGTTTTTATTATTCTTCTATTAGTGTAGAATAATCTAGTCCAGATTTGAAGAGTCCAGGTCTTGTGGTTTTTGAGCTGGACCAGATCTAATGTGGTCCAGTTGCCTAAAAAACAATGAAAAACAAAGTTTGTTGAAGTTTCACAAATCAGACAAAGGTTTTCCAAATCCCAAACGTGTTTTTAAATATTCTTCTATTAGTGCAGAATAATCTAGTCCAGATTTGAAGAGTGTAGGTGTTGTAGTTGTTGAGCTAGAGCAGGTTAAACACGCGCAAGGGAGTGAAAAATTAGTTGTAATATCCCTTTAGTCATTTCCCGAATCGGAAGCTGGAATCGGAAGCTGGAATCGGACACTAACTTCAGCTTCGTTTAGAACGGCAAGTCAAGTAGCTGAGTCAGCTAGAAGTGGACTTTGTGTGTTCCGTAGTGTAGAGGTCATCATGTCTGCTTCACAAACAGAAGGTCCAGCTTCAACCCCCAGTGGAGACAAACACTACCAAAGTTTGACACWTCAACTCTAGACTCTTCTGTTGGTACAACCCAGAGGAAAAGATATTCCTAAAAGAAATCTCACAAACATTTCATTTCAATCTCCTAGACAATTGTGAGCTTTGTGTAAAATAAACAGGAGTCTATTGATAATTTCTCATTTTTCTCAGCTGTTTCTCCTGAGCAATAAGGAAAAAATCTATTAGACTCCTGTGAAGTCTTCATAGAAATCTCACTTTTCTCTAAAAGGTTTCTCAAATTTGTCTCCACATTTATTTCTGTAATGGAGATACTTCCTTGTAAACTTAAACTAGTCTCATTTCAGGCTAGTTTTATCTCATATAGTCACATACTGTGATTCCTTTGTTATCAATATGAATATATGGATAAATACCTTATAATGAAAAATAGAAATTACACTTAAGAAAGACATGTAAAATATGTAACTTAAAGATTTTTTTCAAGTTTATTGGGAAACTGCACTGCAAACAATACCGGGCATTGATGACAAATCAATAAATATTAACTTGCCCAAAATATGTTCAAATGCAACAACAGTTTTCTTTCCCGGCATCTCCAATAAACTGACAACATGAAAACGTCCCACCAGTGTGAATGTCCTGTAGAAGATTTATGCCCTTTACTACAAATTAATTTACAAACGCAAGATGCTTCTCATTTTCACATTCATTGGTTTCTTTGTCTGAGAACAATATTTCAATTTGCCCATATT